AGTTGGTAAAACTGTGGACTCTGGAGTCCGAGTAGAGTCTCAGGGCTACTACACTGCCTGGGACATTGGGCTGCAACCTTGCTGTACTTGGGTTCCCATCAGTGGAGTGGGGATAATGACAGGGCTTATCTCACAGGGTTGTTACAAGGATTAAGAAAGTTAATCCATGTAAAGTTCTGAGGACATTGCTGGCACAGGCAGGAGTGTTCGGCTTTTTGTCTTGCCCTCTTGCATGTAGCAGCTCACTTCTCCTAAGAACACATCCATTTCTAGGGCATGAAAGAATCTCCAGATAGTGGAGAATAATAGAAAATGTGAGTGTAAATTTCTTTTTGTGGGCACTCCCCAAGATAAGGAAAGACACTGGCATTGAGATATAGGCACAGAGAGGGAGTCTGCAGCCTCCACCGAAAATCCTAAAACGCAGGGCAGCTCCAGGCTGCTAAACAAGACAACCAGGAAGAAGGGCCTTGCCTCTTTCAAATGACAGCACCTTTGAAAGGCTGCTAGGAACTGAGCAAGAGAGAGGGCTATAGCTCAGTGGTATAGAGTGCTCACCCAGCATGTACAAAGTTCTAGATTCAATCTTCATGGGGAGGAGGGGGGATCAAGATTAACTTGGGGGGGAATAAGCCAGAAACAAACATGCACTTAATAGGATGTCAGAGATTGAATACTATACTGAAGGCCAATTCACAAAGCGTGGGGAAAAGAGCCCATTCCCCTTTCAGTCTTCATGGAGTCAGTCAACTCCACCATTGTCCTCAGTGGAAACAGAAACCTTTAGTTGTCACTGTGGAGGCCTTCGAGAGTCCTCTCTCCATAGTCTTCGCCCAATGCAAGTTGTGTGCATCAGTTACATTCGGCGGTCTATGGTTCCAAAGTTCACAATGGAACACCCTTGAAGCCTCCATGCTTTTACTTATTTTACCCCCAAGTGCTAACTTCTGCCCCTAGACTTTCTCTGGGATCCAGTTTATGCTGGTGTCCAGCATTTACCCTTCATTATTTCAGGGACACTGGAAGCCAGCTTCCCCACTTACACCAATGTGTCCAGATAACAGTGTGTGTAGTTACCAAGTGAGAAGCTACTCCAGAGTTTCTTTATTTTCAAATATTTGAACCCTACAAAAGAAAAACTACGAGGGTGCCAACACCTAAGATTTCTAGTGTGGTCCTCTCTGCACCCCAAGACAGACCAAGCAATGGAGAGTAAGGAACCTATTATTCCCCATTTCTTAGTTTTCAGCATTGTTTGTTTGTTTGTTTGTTTGTTTCAGAGTAGGAGTGTTTGCCCTGGGCCCATTGTTACCTTAGTACTTCATATCATGCATGAGAATTGACAACATGGGGCTGGAGTGGGAAATACAGGTAAAGAATAGTTAGTCCTGGGAAAAGATGGTACTGACTTGACGACAGGGTGAAAGTTCAGTAGTTTATATACTACAAAACTTGCCTTAGTTTGGTCAGGACTCAAAACTAAGGAAAGGTCACAGGAGAAGATAAAAAGAGAAATCATTATATTGATACAGGAAAGAACTGGGGAATTAAATGCCAATAGAAAAGATTTTCTCAAAAGAGGAAATGCCTAAATGTTGAAAAAATTAATCACAACAAGTTCTTTCAAATACATTGGGCTGAAGTCCTGGAGTGTTAAGAGTTACCTACTTGGTTCCTTCTATTTCTAAGCACTTTATACCATAGATTCCTAGAATACTGAGAATCACCATGCCTGCGGGCACACACATACACACACACACACACACACACACACACACACACACAGGCAGAGAAGCAGTGACAGAGAAATTGATTTACAATGTAAATAAAGTGTACTGTTTCCATCTCATGACTTTCATCCCCAGGAAAACACCTAGCCTGGCCATACAACAATCTGGTAGTTGTGGAATGTTCTCTACTTCACAAAGCAACTTGCTACATTCAGGAACTGAGGAGAGTGAAGTCCACCAGAGTAGTAGGGCTTCCACCGCCCCTTTCTTTCTACCTGAAATAAAGGAAAGCTACTCAAGCTGGCATTTTCCAAAGTTTGTAGATACAGAAAGACTGACTGGTTGGCTTCATTTCTGTCATACCTGGGAGGCCTTGCAGTTATCTGGGAAAATAAATCTCCCATTCTGAAGGTTCAGGGGTCTGGTAGCAGTGGTGGGGAGCTGCACAAACTCTTTGGAAATCCTCAGTGGTTAGGAGCATGTCAGGGCTGGAGCTCTGCTGGCCACATACTGACTGTAAATGAACTAGCATTCTGCTTCTTCTCAGCCCTAATTTTCCTGGTGAGGAGAGGAGCCATTTTACCTTCCCTGGGCTTTGTCCAGAAAGAGAAAATATTTTTATGGCCTCCGTGCTGGTTCACAAAATAATCTTAAAGCCACAAAATAAAACAAACCTGAAGTCAGGACACCTTCTAAAAACTCTATGAAAGCTGTATACATGAAGTGCAGTTTAAGGCTCAAACTGAAAGTGTTACATGCCAATTCGCTAGCATTCTATAGTTCGGGCAATTCAACGAAATATGCTGACAAGTGTTGAAGGAACTCTTATTAGAAAATAAACTCCAACTTGAGAAACCCATCCTGTATTGTGTCCTTGACTTGGAACAAATGATGGACTCTGGTTTCATTTTCCCGCAGGCGTGAGAAGCCAGCCACAGTTTGAAAACTTGAAAGTCCAGGTGTCTCCAATTCCTTGTATACCCTTGCCCCAGCATCAAGTACTAGAATACTCCTGAAAGGTACCCGCAAATCTTCACTTGGGCACATCCACACCTAGCTCTTCCTAAAGTCAGGAACCTTGGAGGCTTGGTGAGACCTCTGCTTCATCTAAACTCAACAGAGCTAGTCATGGTTCCCTCAGTCAAAGCCTGTTAGCCAGCCAACAATTAAAAGGCCAGCTCTTAATTGTTGTGGATTAATATATCCACCCACACAGGGATGTTTGTGAATAAAAACAATCCTTCTGGGTTCTTGAGGGGCTATTTCTAGAGTGAAAAAAATTGAAAATGTTCAATTATGTTTTAGGGAAGAAACAGCTCTTAAACCGATGAAAGTACAAATCTTTCAGAACCACTAGTGGGTGGAATTACCAATCCAGGAAACCCTGCAGCTCACAATTTTGTGAGGCATTCAATGCCCCCTGCTTCACAATTTTTAAATACATCTCGATGTTCCAAGAAGCCAGCCAACACAACCAGAATCTCAATGTCATTAGTCTAACAGGCACTGGGCAGAAAGGAACTTCCACAAGGCTTGCCCTGCCTTTCCTTAACACACACAAAATCCTTGCCAGGCTACCACTAGGTCTCTGCACCACCAGCAGGGGCTCCTAGGAGGTTCACAGCATGTTTGTTTCACTGGTTCTTAAAGTGGCAGCTCTCATTGATAAAATGTAGTGTCATTACGCAACTTTCTTCCTGCTCCTCCTGGGGCTCCCTGTAGCCTCCAACAGCCCTCTGCCGAGAAGCAAGATGACACTTCACACTGATTACCATCAGGTCTCATCTCTGTAAATGCGACTGACATCCATAGGCACTGCAGTAAAAAAGTATTCAGTAAGTTCTCCTGGCTGCTCTGGGCTGTCTGACTATGCGGTTTTGATTGTTTATGGTTGCATTCTGATTGGCTTTAAAGCTTGAGTCTTGTCCCTTGCTTCTCTACCCTCAAAGGACACAGCATCCCAGAACTGTTTGGTGGGTCTCAGTGGGGAATCTAGAACCCCACTCAATATTTTCCCCCAGAGATCCTCCAGCACAGGGCGCAGGCACCCGGCCAGGACGGGTGCGATTCGCTTGCATTTATCAAATCCTTATCGGTGCCCTGAGGTGGGAGCCCGCCGCTTTCGACTAGAGGATACACTGTTCCTGGCTCGGGTCCCTAAGTGGAAGTCCAAACAAAAGCCAATCTGCTCTGGGGCCCTAGCCCTCAACGCAGTCCTTTGCATCCTGCCTGTGGATCTTGCGCGGCTCGTGCCACTCTGCCATCATGCGTTCGATTCCGGCCACCCAAGCCAAGTAGCCTCAGAGCAGCCCAAGGTTCGCACCGGTCGGAAGGGTAGCAAAGGGCCAGGCAACCAGCCACAAATTTTTGCAGGAGTCAAGGGTGTACCCAGGGCTGCGCGGCCGCATAGTGTGTTCCCACCCAGGCCGAGAGAGCCCAGTGTCGCCTGATCCGGGGCGGATTGAAGGAGATGCCAGTTGACCGGAGTTGCCTCTAACCCAGTGTGGAAAGGCTCGTGAGGCCAGGCCTTCGTGGCTGCCCTTCTCTGTCTTCTTCAGACACTCGGAGAGGCCGGGTTTCGCCCTCCTCTCTCTGCACGCTAAGCCACCTGCCCCCGCAGGGCAACCCAGGTCACTACCCACTCTCTGGCTGACTCTAGGTGCAGGGCGAGGGAAGGGGGTGTTCTAAATCTTGAGAGCCTTCGGGAGCAGGGCACTTGGCCATGTTCCGGCTCCTCGGGCCAGGGTGCGCCCCGAGTTACATTTTGCCCTCTGTCCCTTGCTAGTTTGGGGCGCAGAGCCCGCATAGGAGAGCTCTTTCGGAAAAATCTGAAGGGTCTTAAAACAGAAAAAAGAAAGAAAAAGAAAAAAGGAAGGCAGGCGTGTCTGTCTGCTCAGCAGGTAAACCCTGAAAAAGTCGAGGGCATCAGCCCAGAAACATTTCAAACCCCTGGTTGGGGAAGCTTGGTGATCTGGGGAAGACAGACTTTGGAAGGCGCCGCGGAAGCACCCCTGACCTCCAGGGCCACCTCTCTGTGACTCAAGGTCTCAGAACTATCAGGTTCGCGACTCTATTGCGAAGCCGCAGCTGCGCGTCCCCAAAGCCCGCACCTGCTCGTTCACCCACCCGCCCCCACCTCCAGAGCTGTCCTCCGGCCTCCAAGATTTCTCACACCCTTCCCGCAACTGTCCCGGGTCGCACCCGCCTCGCGCGGTTCCGCCACTGCCTGGCACCCAGTCGGTCGGCTTGCTGGCTCCGACGCCCGCTTACCTTTTCTTCTCCTTGTCAGCTGTCATTGTCGCCTTGTCCCTCCGAGACCCGGAGCACCTGGGTTTCTTAGGCCCGTAGGGGGCTGCAGCCGTTGCCTTTGCTGTGGCCCTCGGCCGCTCTCTGTCAGCCCGGCAGGTGTGAAAGGTCTTTAGTGCTCGCAGATCCGAGTGTCCCGCACAATCAGGTGGAAGTTTGCAGACTCCTGGCTAGGTGCGGAGGAGGAGGGAGGAGAAGGGTGGCGGGGAGGAACCTGCAGGAGGAGGCGGGGCCGGGGAAAGGAGTGGGAGGAGGTTGTAAGACGCCGGAGGAGAGAACAGCGACAAGCGACCTGAAGTCCCGTTTATCCGCAAACAGGAGTCAATTTTCTGGGATGTCACAAAACCAAACCAACCAACCAACCAACCAGCAAACAAAAACAGTGGCTCGGAGAGAGCGAGTTGGAAGAAATCCGGGGCCAGGCGAGTGCGGCCACTGAGATGACCATACAGTCTCAGGACACTGCCGAGGATTGTACGGCCGCCTCAGGAGAGCTGGAGCGGAACGCTGAAGACTCCGAAGCTGTGCACCGGCCGCTCTCGAATGTCCGGCTTCCTCGCCTTCCAGCCCACTTTAAAAACTCGGACGGCCCGCCCGCGGGAGGGCGCGAGGGGCGCGGGAGTCCCACAGTGGACCGGGGGCGGGGCGGGGCGCCAGGCAAGCCCCGCCCCTGCCCACTGGCTGCCTCGTCCCGGCCAATGGAGAGGCACGGCCACAGCCTCTGCCCTCACCCGGGCCCGCCCCTTTCTCCCCGGCAGTGCTCCACTGGCTCTCACCCCGTCCTATCTCCTCCTTCTGCAGATCAGGGACTTGTTTTTGTAGTCTACTCAGCGCGGGGCTGAGTAGTGGTCGGGGTCGGTTACCCGAGTCCAGCGTGTGACTTCGCGCCAGCGTCCTCTCACTAGCGCATTTCCCTGAGAGACAGGGCAGGACCGCGGGGTCGGAGGTCCCACGCTTACCCTGGGGGAGTGCAGCGACACTCCCGGGTGCTGCTAGGAGTCTCTGCCCCAGCTGTGTGTCTTCATCCAGCAGGTGGGGATAATTCCCAGGACCCTGACCGCAGTGCTGCTTGCCAGCCTGGGCGGTGCGCTCTTTTTGGCGAAGCGCTGTTGACCTTGACTTCTGAGTCCGGAGAGGCAGAGGGGCGGGGGTGGGGGGTGGGTAAGGTGTGGGAGAAAAATGTGACCCCCCAAAAAAAATTAGGGTTGCTCCTGCGGTGTCTTTTCCTCAACTGGTTTATGGGTTGTTTGAGGTGCTTGTGGGAGGCTGTTAGGTTATGGCACATGCTAGAGAGGAGGGCCTGCCTTTGCCAGCTCTCAATAAATAATCTAGCATCACCATGGATTCCCGGGTGTGATCTTGGGAGTGAGAGTTGATAGCACACTCCAAGTTACTGGATCTGCCCACTTTCTGCCCTGACAGTTTCTCATTTCCTAATTAGGTGATCCTGGAGGAAATCTCCAGAAGGAAGAAGTGAAACTTGAGGAAAATGCCCATGGGCTTCACATGTGTGAATTACCCAGAAAGCAAGCACCTGCAAACTGAGCCTTCCTGGGACCCAAGTCCTGTATACTGCATAATTCTCTCACCAACATTTCCTAGTAGAATTATAAACAGAAAATGGGGTGTATGTTGGGGCCGGGGGCGGATCTTAGGTTTGTGTAGGTACACAGGAGAGGGGCATTCTTTTTCAGGAGACTTGGGAAGGTATCCGAAGAAACTGGGAGAGTAGAGAAATCAGAAGGGAGAGACAGACACTCTCTTTGAGAACTTGGAAATCAATCGATAGATCTGGCTGCAATCTCAAAGACCATTTGTTTCACTGAAAGAGACTGGTAGGTGATTTCCTATGGCACTTCTCCATCTAGACAACCCTAGTGGACCCATTTATTTGTCTTAATAAGAAATGCAAATTATTAGACTTGGTTATAACAAACTGTAAGCATATTTATGTCACTTGAGACTGGAATGGAGGAAGGGGAAAAAGTCAAACAATTAAAAAAACAAAAAAAAAAAACAAAAAAAAAACCCAAGTGCTTTGGCAGCATCAAGGCCCTAACATTGTTTTCCACCAGAGCTCCTGAATCCTGAGCTGTGCTTGTCAGGTGACTAAGCAATGCCTCTAACCTGCAAGGTTCAATAGGGCTGAGGTTAAGAAATTTATTTGGGAGCTTTTTGTTTTTAAGAGGAAGGGTAGGGCCCAGAGATGCAAGCATGGGTGGGGCCCTGGATTTAACCCTTGCAAATCATTCAGGAAAACAGCAACCATATTAGTATAGCCCCTTACCCGTGCTATTGTTCCCTATTTCTAACTGGGATTTTAACCTGTACATGAAATGTGCCTATATGATGCCCAGAAGGCCCCAGCCTTGCACACAGAGGAGGACCATCTGGTCTCCCTAAAGCCTCTTAACATGTCTTCCAGAATTCAGTCAACAACCTCTGTTAGGAGCCTAGAGTGTAAGCCAGACACAGCATTCTTTGCAGTTTTAGCATCCATGTAGAAGGAAAAGTGGGGACAAGCTCTGAGAATAGATGGTAGGGGTGGGGGAGTGGCGCCCCTGGCTTTAGAGAAGTCTCTCTAGAAGCACTGATATTAGGGCCACAGAACAGAAGGTATCCCGAAGTAAAGCTTAAAGGGGGCACAGATGACCAATCCCTTAGGAAGTTGTCCCTGCCCCCTGTGACCCATGTGTCCTGTCCCATCATTGTGTTGGGGTGTCGTGTGTGTGTGTGTGTGTGTGTGTGTGTGTGTGTGTGTCCGTGTCATCTCTTGGCTCTCCACTGCACTGCTTGGACCCAACAGCTATGACATCAAGGAACTGCCTACTTGTTTTAATAAGGGATGTGCCTGGGTCTTTACTTCCCTCCCTTCTTTGTTGAGTGTCCCATTAGGAGGAGAGCTGTTGATAAAGGCTAACCTACAAACCTACAGAAAGCAGGTACTTGGGATGTAGCAGAAAGGTGCGAGGATGACTCAGTAATCCTGTCAGAGTGACAGACATGACCCCGGATATGGTTTGTAATCAGGTTGGAGTGGTTAGGACTTAGCAGAAGAGACTGTGGAAGGCTGGGCTTTAGAGTTTGACAGACTTTCAGGTCCTTGTCATAATGGGATCAAGAAGAGAGACAAGAAGTGGCCACTAGGACTCAGAAATTGAAGGAGACACTCGAAGTCACAAAAACCTACACTTGCCACTGTCTGCAAGTACACTGTCTCATGTGACAGCCCTCTGTTCTCAGGCTGACCATTTAGTTGGTTTGGAATTGTCAGGAACAAGGGAGGTAGCAGAGATGGGAGGAAGGGCTAGCTGGGAGAGGCCATTGCTCCTCCCCCTTGACAAACCTTTCTGACTCACCCCCAAGAGTTAATCTGCATTATCAATTCCACTGGATTTAGAATTACTTTGGAAACACAACTCTGGGCTTGTCTATGAGGGTGTTTCCAGACTCTATGAACTGGTATCCCAGACTGAGTAAAAAGGAGGAAGTGAGCTGAACACCAGCATTCCTTCCTACCTCCACCCCCATCTCTGTCTCTCTGCTTCCTTGATGCAGATGGAATCAATATGATGAACTGCCCCATGCTCTCATACCTACAACCACTACACCATCCCCAACATGATGGTTGGTCCTCTCAAACTGTGGGCCAAAAGAAACCCACCCTTTCTTAAATTTCTTTGGTCAGTTATCTTGTCACAATAACAAACTTTTACTCAAATAGGCACCCACCCAGGTCTACACACACACACACACACACAGAGAGAGAGAGAGAGAGAGAGAGAGAGAGACAGAGAGAGAGAGCTCCATCTATTTTCTATATTCACATTCTAACCCTGAACTCTGGTACCAGACTATCATCCTCTTGTGTGTGGCTCTTGGCCAACATCCTGAGGTCATTTCCTAGACACGTGCTGTATATGTTATTAAACATTATGACTTTTGGCCCATAGACTCGGGATCTGTTGTCATTCTAAAGAGGTTCTGTGATTTTATTGGACTGTCTAAGTGACTCCTGATGGAGCTATTTGGTAACAACCCATCCCACTGCTGCTCCTTCACACCCGGATTGCCAGTGACTTAGAGGCCAGTGGCTTCTGTTGCCAGGTCTAGGATTAAGATGGTAGCAGTGAGAGGGTGTATGTGTTTCTCTCCATGTCATTTAGCCAATGATAATTGACCCACAGCCACTCTGCTGTGCTATTCCATGGGAAACAATTTGTCAGGCCAGTTCCTACCCTCCCGAAGGACCGAGCCCATTTGCACAACAAGTCCTGTCTTAGATTATGAACGTACATTCACTCATCCTTTTAAGATGTTTGAAACCAGTGAACCACATTTAAGTGATAATACTTTTTGTTTCCTCACAATAGTTCTTAAATTGGTGAATGAATATATTTACCAATGGTATTGGAAATTGTACTGGTTAGTTAGTTGGGGTTAAATTTTTTTTTTTTTTCAATTTGACACAAGCTAGAGTCCTTTGGGAAGAGGGAGACTTTATTGAGAAAATACTTCCATCACAATGCCTTTTAGGTATGTCTGTAAGGGATTTTTTCTTAATTAATGATGGTGGGAGGGCTTAGCCTGAGCAGGTGGTCCTGGGTCATATAAAAACAAAACAAAAACAACAACAACAAAGTGAGATAGGCAACCCATGGAGAGCAAGCTAGGAGTCAGAACTCCTCATGGTTTCTGCCTTATTTCCTTCCAACAGGTTCCTGCCCTGAATGCATGCTTGCCTCGGCTTCCCTCAGTGATGCTCTGTAATCTGGCTTAATGTGTAATACAAATAAACCCTTTCCTCCAAAGTCACTTTTGGTTGTGGTATTTATTATGGCAAAAGAAAGAAAACTAGATCAATAATGAATACAGTCTCGAGGATCTCTTAAACATGAAAATTGAGCACACACCATACTCTCTCTGAACAATAGGTGTGTAAGAATTTGGTTGTGGGGGCAGGGGTGAAAGGGAATGAAAAGCTAGCTGTATCCACTCCTAGGACCCAGAGATGCTTAGCCTGGACTCGCCAGGCATCAGGCTGGTGGGTGTGACATGTGAGGTGCCAAAGTAAAGCTCATGTGAGAAGAACGGCCAGTAGGAAAGAAATGCTAGCCCCACCTTGGAAAGAGCATGAACATAAATGAAACTTCTCTTGTCACTAAAAATGCTGGGCTCAACCATCTCTGCTCTAGAGACTGGATGACCAAAAATGGCACAGAGTAGGGGTTAGAGTGACCCTGGTTAGTTGGAGTAGCCTTGACCTGTAACAGGATGTTGAAGTGAGCCTCATTGACCTCTGTTGAAACCAAGGTCCCAAATAGCAGATCCCCTCTGCCCCCATTTCCAAAAGGAAGAACACAGGAAAGCTTTGGAGGGTGGTTTTGAGAACTTGCCCTAGCCACCATCTACCTCAAGGAAACACATGATTTTCCACAACTAGATTTCCAGGGGCAGATGTCAGCATCATGGTCCACCCAAGGGAGAATAGACACTGTTCTCTCCAAGGCCAGTGTCTGGGGTTCTGAGAGACTACATAGGGAGCTCATGGATATTCCT